TTGGAGTAGGAGTCTCGCTCTGTTGCTGGAGTGCAGTGGCACGCTCATGGCCACTGCAACCTTGACCTGCTGGGCTCAGGCAGTCCTTCCCCTCAGCCTTCTAAGTAGCTGGAACTACAGGTGTGAGCCACCACACCTGACTAATTCATTTTTAAAATTTTGTGTAGGGACAAGGTCTCACCATGTTGCCCAGGCTGGTCTTGAACCCCTGAGCTCAGGTAATCCTCTCCCCTCTGCCTCCCAAAGTGCTGGGATTACAGATGTGAGCCACCGTGCCCAGCTTTTTAAAAAAAAATAATACTTTTCTAGAAGTCCTAAAATCATTGTATTCTAAAGAAAATTGTCAGTTTTTTTTTTCTATCCACCAAAGTTGCCAAAAATTGAGGGAGAGAGATTTCCACCCATCCTCTAGGCCTGTGAAGTGCTGACAGCACTAAGGGCGGTCCGCTGCCGAGGATAGATACAACTGTGTAAACATACATCCTCTTCAGAAAGAGGAAATCCAGAGGTATTTTGGTGCTAAAATTGCATTTTTCTAGCACCTTGTTTAAATTTGTGGGTTTTTTTTTCCCTGTTACCAAAATGTCACAAGAAAGATTTTGTTTTGTCAACTATTAACAGTGTTGGGGTTCACATGTTCCCAGGAGTCTCAGCTCTTTAAATCTCAAATACTTCTTTTGTCTCTACTCTGTCATCCCTGTGACACGGCAGGGGCCCTGTTTTTACTCCTGCAGAGCTCAGGGGTGGGGGTCGCAGGGCACTGGGCACCTCTGGACTCTGGCGCTTGGTTGTTTTGGTTTTGGCCTCAGCAACAGGTGCACAATTTCTTGACTCCCTTGATGACTTTGGTAGGATGTCCTTGTGCCTGTTTTCTTCTTGCCGCAAGAGGGCGCTGCTAGGAAGTATTTCTATTTGAAGGCTTTTGTGTTTTCATGGAAGAGCTTTGGCAGCCCTCAAAACGCTCATTTAACACCTTGTCCTTTCTTGCAAATTCCATACCTTACATGTAAGAGAGAGCTTTGTAACTGCTCACAAATAGGTTTACTGCAGTTTGTACACTACTCACACACAAAAAAGTGAAGAAACTCTTTTGTATAGAGTGAGTCCAGTGAGGTGTGGTGGCTCACGCCTGTAATCCTAGCACTTTGGGAAGCCAAGGCAAGAGGATTGCCTGAGCCCACAGGTTCAAGACCAGCCTGGGCAACTTGGTGAGACCTTGTCTCTACAATAAATAAATAAATTATCTGGATGTGGTGGCACATGGAAGGCTGAGATGGAAAGATCGCCTGAGCCCAGCAGGTTAAGGCTGTGGTGGCTGTGAGCATGCCACTGCACTTCAGCCTGGATGACAGAGTGAGACTCTGACTAAAAAAAAAAAAGTTATAGTGAGTCCCCAGTATTAAACATTTCTGATTTCTTCAGTAATTTTTTAAAAAGTTGTCATAAACCATCTAGAAAGCTCATAGTATATTAAGTATATAACATCCTAAAAGATATGTAGTTCTGCCTGCCTGTCCTCCTTTTTTGCCTTGGGAGAAGTCTTGACATTCGTTTCTGTTTATTCCAGGTGTTCACCTAAGACAGGAGCTGCAGCCAAGTGCTCATGCTGAAGACCTTCATGCTTCCTAGGCTGTCAAGGGGTGACGCACCCCCTGGGTAGCTCATAGCTTATAGTTTTGTGCAGTAAATCACTGATTGATTGTCCCAGTGTTACCACTAATATCTGCACTTTGTAGAAATTTGAGTTTCTCCAGAACATCCCTCACGGTCAACTGCACTTGTAAATAAAAGCCATCTCTGCCATCTGGCTCACTGGGTTTGACTTGAAAGAGTCCTGAAGCATTGGAGAAATGAAAGAGCTTTTGGGCACTGTACATTCTTCTTAAGCAGTTATAGGTCTTTATAGCCATGCACTCTGCTCTTTGACATGGCACATTCACTAAATTTCCTTCAGCTGGAATTAATGTAGATTTGTAGGAAAATTCATTCAAATAAAAAAATATTTAAAAACATTAAAAACAGAAAAAACAAGCCGGGCTCGGTGGCTCAGCCTGTAATCCCGCGCCTTTGGGAGGCTGAGGTGAGTGGATTGCCTGAGCCCGTGGGTTCGAGACCCGTCTGGGCAGCGAGACCTCATTTCTACAATAAATCAAAAAATCAGCTGGGCGTGGTAACGCGTGCCTGTAATTCTGGCTACTTGGAAGGCTGAGGCGGAAGGATCGCTGGAGCCTAGCAGGTCGAGGCTGCGGTGGCCGGGAGCGGCCACTGCACTCCAGTCTGGGTGACAGAGTGAGACTCCAACTCAAAAAAACAGAAAAAACCAATTCCTATAACAGTTTGATTTTTTTTAAAGTTGTCTTTTTTCAAATAACCATTTACAACTAGGTTTAAATATATGAATTACTACCTGAAGTGGAACTTTTTTTTTTTTTTGAGAGGACAGAAAATCTCCCACAGTGGGAGGGGACCCCAAAGGGGTTGTCCTGAAGTGGAACTTTTAAATTAGACAGCAATGTACTTTTACTACCCAAAGTGGAACTTTTAAACTAGGCAACATGTACTTTTTCTTTCCTTAGACCATTTTGGCTTCTACTGGAAGATTTAATTAAAAGGTAGAGGAGAAATAATTCCTTTAATTTTGCTGTAAGTGAAACAAAGAGTTTATTTTATTATATAAAGAATGTGAAATAAGCATGAAGAGACAGGCTTTGGGAGAAATACAAGTGGCTTTTCAAAGATGGCATTGTTGAACTTCGACGTGGCCTTCAGCTTGTAGCATGGGTGAGCCTGGGCAGGGCCTTCTGGCATGTCCGGGCCCTGGAGGTCTTCACACACATCCATTTATATCAGGATGGGAAGCTAGAGCTAGTGCAGGGCCAGCTCTAAGGTGCTACTTGGATCATTATTAAAGAAGTTACATGGAGTCTACAGACTCACTTCACTGAAGATGTAGCTTGCCCTGGTAGCTAGCTCCTGATGGGCAAGTCAGTTGGTGTATCCGGAGTGAACTCGGTGTGGGCAGTGGACACAGACACAGTCCTCATGGGGATTCCCTGTGGGATAGGAGAGGGACTGGCACTGGCAAGTCCAGCATTCTCTTTAGGCGTTGGTTCTGTGCTGTCTTTAAAATCTATGGGAATGTTGGCTTTTATATTTGGCAACACGAGTCAGTGTTCACTCCTTACACATCAACCGAGACTTTTATCTAAATGAAGAAAATTATTAATGAAATCAGTCAAGATTCTCAGAGGCCCTGTTGGTGGGTTAGAATTACTTGTCCACACACAGAAGTGGCACGAGGGCCCATTTTCCTTGTAAAATCTGCAATATCTGATTATAGAGATAAGTTCCATTATAGTATATGTGGGAACATAAATATCGGAATTCCCCCAGGGACTTGGCTTTCATCCAAGGATGTTGGCAGCAGCCACTAAGTTTACCTCAAGAATTGCAGTCGTGTAGGACTAGAGAAGTAGAGCAGTAGAGTGGAGGGTTTTGGATATGTCCCAGTGAAACTAACAGGATGGCCACATGTAGTCCATAGTTCTTTGTATGCGTTATTCTGTAATTTGTACTGAGGCAATTTTTATACTTTTTATACTTTCAATGTATGTTAACAAAAAAAATTAAGCAGCTCACTTTTGTGCCAAGGGTGCTTCTATCACTCTTCTGCATCAGAAGTCACATACCACCAGCCTGGGCAACATAGCGAGACCTCGACTCTACAAAAAAATTAAAATTTAGCTGGGTATATTGGTACACACCTATATTCCCAGCTATTCAGGAGGTTGAGGCAGAAGGATCGCCTGAGCCCAGGAAGTCAAGACTGCAGCGAGCTGTGATTATGCTACTGCACTCCAGCCTGAGTGACAGAGTGAGGCTTTGATTTAAAAAAAAAAAAAGATGCAAAAAGACACACACCCAGGAACAGAAGAATGATTGGAGATGGCTTGCCCAGGCCTTCTTTTGGGATCCTCAGAAGTTTCCTTGTTGGAGAGTATTGAGTAAGGGTGGAAGGAAGGGGATTTTCTTATGTGTATGTTTGTGGCATTGGCCATGTCATCTTAGGGTGGCAGCGGTGCAGACTGATGACGCCATTCTCTAGGGGCGCGGTATCAATCCGTGGAGCCACATTTGGTTTGAAAAAGCATATTGGCTGGACTCGATGGCTCAGGCTGTAATCCCAGCACTTTGGGAGGCAGAGGTGAGTGGATTCCTGAACCTGAGGGCTCGAGAGCAGCCCGGGCAACTTGGCAAGGCCTCGTCTTTATAATAAATAAAAGATTAACTGGGCGTGGTAGTGTGCACCTGTAGTTCTGGCTACTTGGAAGGTTGAGGCGGAAGGATCGCTGGAACCCAACAGGTTGACACTGGCTGTTGAGCGTGCCACTGCACTCCAGCCTGGGTGACAGAGTGAGACTTCAACTCAAAAAAAAAAAAAAAGAGAACAAACATATTGAAGGCTGGGCTCACACCTGAAGTCCCGGCACTTTGGGAGGCCAAGGCAAGAGGATCATTTGAGGCCAGGAGTTGGAGATAGGTCTCAGCAATATAGTGAGATCCCCATCTCTGCAAGAGAAAGCATCTATTTTCAAAACACTATGAGATTATTATGATTATCCAAAAAAGAAGGTTTTGTATTTTTTTTTTTTTTTTTGAGTCGGAGTCTCATTCTGTCACCCAAGCTGGAGTACAATGGCACGCTCACAGCCACCACAGCCTGCAGGGCTTGGGCAATCCTTCCATCTCAGTATTCCAAGTAGCTGGAACCACAGATATGCACCACCATACCTGAATAATATTCTGATTTATTGTAGAGATGAGGTCTTGCCAAGTTGCCCAGACTGGTCTCGAACTCCTGGATCAGGCAGTCCTCTCACCTCAACCTCCCAAAGTGCTGGGATTAAAGGCGTGAGCCACCACGCCTACCCAGGAGGGCTTTGTATTCTCAAAAAGTTGAGAAAATCTGCTCCAGTGTTTAAAAGGGTACATGGAGGCGGGTACCGTGGCTCACGTCTGTAATTCCAACACTTTGAGAGGCGGAGATGAGAGGATTGCCTGAGCCCAGGGGTTCGAGACTAGCCTAGGTAACTTGGTGAGATCTCATCTCTATAATAAATAAATAAAGCCGGGTATGGTGGCACCCACCTGTGGTTCCAGCTACTTGGAAGGCTGAAGCAGAAGGATTGCCTGAGTCCAGCAGGTGGAGGCTGCGGTGGCCGTGAGTGTGTTCCTGCACTCTAGCCTGGGTGACTGAGATTCCGACTCAAAAAAAAGTTCATGGGCTAATAGAGTTTGTAAACTCAAGGAAAGAAAAGCCAGAGGACCCAGTCGACTGTTCTTACAAATGCATTAGGAAGTGCATCGCTGGGGCTTTTCTTGGCATCGTTGGGAGGTGTCTTCTAGAAATGCTAAAGTTTTAGGAGAAACCTTGGAGTTACTTTTACAGAACTAGGATGGGAATGGGGACTGAAGGGGGACGTGAGAAGTTTCAAACTTGGGCAGGCATAGGAGCAGAGGTGGCTTTTGAAGAAGATAAATTTCAGCTTAGCATATATGTTTGCATAGAATCAACTAATAGCTTTATAATGATGTGCAAAGACACATTTGTATATGACTCACATGCCTTTACAATTATGTAGAACTTGATATGTTCTTTTAACTCAAAGCCAAATGTCCATGAAGAATGAACATTCGTGAGAATATGCCTTGAAAGGCATTGAGCACGACGTGTCCCAGCCCCTTGGTATTTGGTTTTTGCAGCAATCATTATGCAAGGATCATGGGGTCTTCATGGATTTACGAACGCAAAGTAAATCTACCTTTTTAAAAGGTAGACTTTCAGTTTTAGAGCAGTTTTGGGTTCAAAGCTAAACAGAGCCAGCGCAGATGTCCTATTCACCCCTGCTCCTGGCAGGCATGCCCTCTCCCACCGTCAGCACCCTGCATCAGAGTGGCCCATTGTTCCAGTTCGTTCACTTATGTTGACATGTTATCACTCGAAGTCTAAGTAACAGGGGTCACCCTTGATATTGTACAGACGCTCTTCGACTTTCAAGTGAGGCTACGTCTTGATAAAACCATCATGAGTAGAAAATATCCTAAATCAGGCAGGGCGCAGTGGCTCACACTTGGTAATCCCAGCGGTTTGGGAGGCCAAGGCCAGAGGATTGCTTGAGCCCAGGAGTTCAAGACCAGCCTGGACAACATAGCAAGATCTCGTCTCTACAAAAATAAATGAAAAAATTAGCAAGGTATGGTGGCATGCATCTGTAGTCTCAGCTACTCAGGAGGCTGAGATGAAAGGATTGCCTGAGCCCAGGAAATTGAGGCTGCAGTGAACCATCATCATGCCCCACTGCACTCCAGCCTGGGCGACAGAGTAAGACCCTGACGACAATAATAATAACAATAATAATAAGCCGGGTGCAGTGGCTCAAGCCTGTAGTCCCAGCACTTTGGGAGGCTGAGGTGAGTGGATTGCCTGAACCCACGGATTCGAGACCAACCTGGGCAACTTGGTGAGACCTCATCTCTATAATAGCCAGGTGTGATAACGCGACCTGTAGTTCCAGCTACTTGGAAGGCTGAGGCGGAAGGATGGCCGGAGCCCAGCAGGTCAATGCGGGGGCGGCTGTGAGCATGCCACTGCACTCCAGCATTCACCAACATATCATACAGAGTAGTTTCACTGCCCTGCAAATCCTCTGTGCTCCACACATTCCTGCCTCTTCCAGAACATTGCATTCTTGGAGTTGGGCAGTAGATAGTTTTTCCGATTGGCTTCTTTCACTTAGAAACATGCATTC